GCAGAAAGAATGACGGCACATTTGAGAAGACTGTCTACCGAAGACACATGCGAATGAAACTACATTAGGGAGAACTTTAACAAGAAAATGGTCACTACGCTCGGAGAAGGAAACGGACCAAGACAAGAGACGCGACGAAAAACGAAAAGATGAGAATCTCAGAAACAGAACACTCGAGGTTTATGCATTAGTTCACCCATCTCTCCAGTTCATTCAATCCATTAGACACTCAACCCCGATATTACTCCATCATGACGTACGGAGACTGCCTACCCTACCACCAAGTCCTCCTTCCATCATCGTTCAATCCAGCCCTATGCCAATGCCCGATAAACACCATGCTTGCTTGGAAGAGATTAAATCGCAAAACAAAAAAAAAGACAGTTCTACTAGTACAGGGAGCGGTCGTAGATGCAAGAATCAGCCATAAAGGGCCGGGGACGCTCGGTTGAGATCTTGTAGAAGGGTATAATCGCAGGGGACCTGGTATGTAATGCTCGCTGTAACATGTATGCCGAAACGATATATGCGTGTGCGGAATTCGAGCTGGTGTGAAGACGGTCTGCAACACCGCAGTTCGATAACAGTATGGTTGCAAAGCTTAAACGCCTTGAGGATACTTCTGTTGACGAGGTGGGAGGGCGTGTGGTATCTATCCCTCTAATAGAGGCGTCCTCGGCTGGCCTGGCTTGCTCTGCTGGGCGACGTCCGGCTCCTCTCATCTTCCTCGGGAACGTCACTCAGTCTTGTCGGATGGTGATGTCTCATGCCTACCCACTCATCGCCGTAGCCATCGCCACTGTAGTCGGGTGCACCGCCAGCGGTAGGGTGACCCTGGCGTGACGATCCCGCGCTCGAACTCGTTGCGTAGGCACCTGAAGACGTGGCAGTCGTGCCGTAGTGTTGCAGATGCTCAAGCTCGCGTCGACGTGCATCTTCTACATCATACTCATCCGATACTGGAGACTGAAGCGATCGGAACGGGATGCGGCGACCTGAATCATCGCGAATGAAGTTGCCTCTCTCGTCCAGGGCGTACTCGATATCGCCTTCGGACTCCTCTGCCTGAGACGTGACATACGACTGTTCGTCCTCTGGTAGACCTGACTCAGACTCTTGATGTAGATATGAACCTGGTTGCTGGTAAAAAGCCTCAGGCTGAGACATGGCCGGTTGTGCAGGAGCTTGCTGTGCCTGAGACGTGTAGTATGGATACTGTAATGGAGCAGGGGCTAGTGCCTCGTCCGCGACCGAAGAGCCACCAGGTCGAGAGGAGGGGGCGGATGCTGCACCTGATGGGACGTAGGTTCCTTGAGCCACGTGTGCAGGAGGTTCGGGTTCTCGGTGCGCATGGCGAGCGCCTTCCGTGAAGGGATCGGTGTCAGTTGGAGACTGACCTTCCTCGTACGAGTAGTGCTGTTCTATACCCGAGCCACTGCTCTGAGCACCGGCGTATGTGTCGTCCCCATGTCCCCTCCCTTGACGCCCCATGTTCTGCCCCATTGGTACCACCTGCACTCCGCCGACCAACGTAGGCTGCCCTTCTCTGAGTGAGAATGTGCGATCACGTTCCTCTTGCTCCCGTCTTCCAAGCTCCTCCCATGCTCGGCGTGCTTCCTCTTTCGAGATTTGAAGCTCACGCTTCATCTCCGACACCGCTCGTTCGGCGTTCTTCTTCTCAGTGGCCATGCGTTCCATGTTTGCCTCAGCCTCAAGTCGAGCCTCCTGCTCCGTGTTGATTTGTTCCGTCAGTTGAGCCTCGCGCTCTTGAGCTCTTTCCTGATCCTGGCGATGCTCGTAGAACCATCTCTGGAACTTGCGCTCGGAAGATGCGCGTAGGCGCTGCAGCTCAACAACAGCATGGAAAAGGTTCGCTCCAGCTGCAGACAGGTCGGTGATCTGGCGCGACATTTGCTGAGCCAGCGGCTCTCTGCGAACTTCATCGGTATTCTGCTCAAGCCGCCGTATCCAGTAGGAGGTTAGACCTTCCCAATGCGAGGATAGTGTTTCCCAGCGTTCAAAGGCATGCGGAAAGTTGGATGTGGTTGACTCGCGAACCTGTCCGGAGGACGAGCCTGGCGGAGGTGGTGGGCGTGCTGCAGCGGTGGAAGGGCCTGCTTGCGATGAAGCAGCCGTGGCACCAGACGGTCGCCGCGCATGCCCTGAGCCAGCTGGCCGTCTGCCTTGTTCCGCCGTCGTTGGTAGGCCTAGGTTTGCCTGAGCGGGTCGAGACTGCTGCTGCTGTGCTTGCGAAGCTGCCCGAGGTCTGGATTGCGATGCGCCGGTAGTGGTCTCCTGCGCTTCGCTCATGGTGTTTTGTGATGGGATCGGCCTCTCTGGCTGACGAGGCACTCCACCCGATGATGTCGGGTATTGTACATACTGGTCGCCAGATCTCAGAGCTGCCGATTGGGGCTGCCTCTGGGTCCCGGGCTCCGTTGTTGGTGCTCCAGCTACACCAGAAACAGCTTGAGCTCTTCTTTCTGCGCTAGCTCTCCTGCGCTCCTCTTCAGCGGCCTTCCTTTGTTCCTCCACTTCAGCCCGTTGTCGTCTGGCGTTCATGATCTGCGTTGGCGTGCGTATGTTGGACCTGTCAACGGGCACAGGACCGCCTGTTGTGCGCGCGCCGCCATTGGCAGCGCGGCCACTTGTTAGATCGGACATGAGGGCGTTCTCTTCGACCAGATCCGGGGTGAAGGGATGTGGAAGTCGGAGTCCCTCTTCGAGCACAAAACGTATTGCCGAGGCAGTACGTTGGCTGACGCGAAGGGCGGGGTGAGGCTCGGCGTAGGAGGTCGAGCGAGGGCGAGGTGTCTCGAAGCGAACGCGCTGCTGCTGTTGGCTCGGATCGACAGATCTCGCGCGCTCGAAGTTGGGCGTGCGGCGAAGACTGTTTGCGACGCTGCCGGTCGAGCTCGATGCTCTCGAGCGATTGTGCTGCGTGCGATAGAAGGCTTCGGCTTGCTCCTGGCGTAGCTGGAGGGAGGTTCGGTATTCGAACAGTGGCGCTGGGCCGTGGCGGTCGTGGTCTCGTGAAGATGGTTGTTGGAAGGGTAATATGTTGGCGAGCTCAGATGGGTCGCTGGACGTCACCGCGAAGTCAGGGACTCTCACTCAGGCCCAATTGCCCTTGCGCCGTCGAGGGGCACCCGCCGGGTTGGAGAAGATACCCAGCGGCTGGTTCTCTTGGGATTGGGTAAGCAACGCGCGACGGCTTGCTTATATCGAAAGGCACGAAAGCTGGCTGGAGAGGGTAATGTTAGAGACAGAGACTGCGGGAGGGCTAGCAGAGGAGCCATTGCTGCGGTGCGCCCTAGCAATTCCGCGCGCGAGGTAGGGTGGTTGGGAGGAGGTGAAGGGCTGGGAGGTGGCTGGGACGCTTCGTGAAATCAACTTACACCTCTCACCGACAGTCCATGAAACAGCCAATGTACGTGTCTGGATGCGCGATTGGTGACTATGTATGCGCTGCGCTGTGCTGTGCTGTCGTCGTGGTGCTGGTGGTTGTCCAATGCCTCGAGTTCTGCTGGCAGTGCCGAAGCAGACGTCACCGGACGAAAAGCTGGCCCTCAGCCCCAGCGCTCAGAAGCGCGGCGCCTGCTGCAACGCGCGGGTGGGTAGAAAAGAGTGACGGAAGAGACAGAGGGTCTCGTCTGGATATGCATTGAAGTCGCGCGGCTGAGCAATCGCGGACCTGTGGTAGCGCTTTGAGCGCGAGCGGAGCTTCACCCGGGAAGCAAATACGCCAAACGCTGATATTTGCTGATGTGGAGTCGCACTGACCGACGTGCAGCGAGATGCATGCAAGCGACTGCACTGGGACGAGGATAGCGGACGTCGAGTTGGTGACGGCTACGATCGATTGCCAGCGTGCCAGCTCATCGTGCTTGTTCTGCTAAACCTGGCATGGGGCCAAGGTACAGCGCGAGCCGGAAAGCGGAAAGCCCATCGCCGTCATGACCGGCCGAACGAAGCAAGGCATTAGAAGCCAGCAGTCCAAGATTACGAAGAAGTCATGTAGTTGATAGCTGGAGATTTATTTGGCTCACGGCCTCTCTCATGCTCGTGGTCGCGGTTACCTCATCGCACCTGCCCACCCGCATGCGCCTGCCAATCAGCCGAGTTGTGAGGAAGGAGCGGCCCGTCTCCAGCGGGTCAAATCGTCACAGCGTTTGGCCACGAGCGTCGTGTCTCTTCAACCTGACAACAAGCTGCCTTTCCCAAAGGCCCGCATCGCAACGACCAGCTGATGATGAAGTCGTTCGGTATCTTGTACAGCCAACAAACATTCCATCATGTCCACCCCTGGAACCCGCATACACGACATGCAACTCCCAGCCTCGCGTATGCGTTAGACCCATGATCCTGCAGCAACGGAAGAACAAGGAAACATACTGCAGACGTAACGTTCACTAGACCCACAGAACAGCTGTCATCGTCAGACGTCGCCCGTCCCATTTGCGATGAAAAGAGGACGGCACACTTTGCGCACACCGCCTCATAACCTGAATCGCAAGCACATCGGACCGAGGCAGCAATCGGAGAGCTGTAGCACTTGCAAAGACGCCGAGATGTCAGCAACGACGGAGAAGCATCGACACAGCCAGGTTGTGGGATGTGTTTTTTTATTCGTGTAGATCCTAGGAAAGGGCCAGACTCTGGAGTGAGACCTAGCTACAAGGTTATTCCCAAATACCTTTTCCCGAGGCTTCCAAGCTCCAAAAGCTCCGCAGACGCGTCGTGGTATCGTAGTTCATCCTCCGCTCCGTCATTGCCCAAGTCCGAATTGTCAATCGTTCGTCGTTCGTCATCCGCCGTCACCCGTCCGCCGTCCATCTATCGGTTCCTATGAAAGTCAAGCAAGGGTCTTTGGGTAGGACACATTTGCTGCTGCCAGCAAGTCCCATCCATGTCTCCTCACTCCCTTTGGTCAGCTGCATGATAAAAATAATGTCGAAACACCAAAAGCAAGCAGGACGCTGAGCAAGACCGGACCAAATTCAAGAAACAGCGCCAGAACCAGAACCAGACAACCAATCCCAAGATCTTCTTACCTTGTGCTTGAAGCTACCGTTCTTGACGGCTGTCGCAGGTTTCACCGAGGCTTCGTCGATGTCTGCGGGCAGGATTTGGTCGAAGCTGCTATCATTGGAAACGATAGAGTCTTCGGAGGTCGCGCTGTCGACAAATACCAGGCTCGCGCCTGTCGGAGAGGTTGCGCCAGAAAAGGTGTTTCCGTCAGCGGCAGGGCTTCCGGTCGTCGCCAGAATGACAGGTGTCTCGCTATCAGTCACTGGGACAGGAGGGAGATTTGCCGAGGACACGGTTTCTTGCGGCTGCAAGCAGGAGGTAACAGCGCTGCCTGGGGACCACGGTGACTGGGCTGAGAAGTAGCCGTCTTCTTTGGCCGCGCCATCTAAGGCCTCGCCTAGGTCCTTCATCTGGAGAGACTCCTTTGTTAGCGGTATCGGGTCGCCACGGTCATCGAAAACCCCAGTCCAATTCGGCCATTGGATCAGACAATGGTTCTTGACGACCTTGCCCTCTCGACTGAGTGGATTGCGAGAAGTCTTTGGGGCTCGTAGACCGCTGTCCACACAATCTTTACCGCAGGTCAACAATGCAATACGGGAGAGCTCTTGTTCAAATGGTAGGTAGTCGACGACAAAGCCGTTGAGTTTGAGGCACCTAGTAAGCAAGTCAGTCTCATTCCAGTACACACTGGTCGCCTAGTCGTGCCACGTATATATGGGGGATGTATCTCGGTAATCGGGGCTTCGTTTGGCTCATGACCACTTGTTTCTTTGGAATCATCCCACTTACCGTAACGGGAACGGTTTGGCCTCCTCCAGTCCAGCTGCAATACGTCCTTTGCGCATGCTGAAGTCATCGAGGTACTCGCCGGTACCGAAGGAGTAGTGTAGTACTCCCTTTCCGTCTATACCCCTGCAGTGTGTTAGCGACAGCACTGTGTGGAACACCGGATGTGCTCCTGTGCATGGGGACTTACTTGTACTCCTTTTCTTTCGAATCTATCTTCGGAACGGTCAAGCCACGGACGTCCTCAGCCTTGTGCCAATGGTCTTTGCGCACGATCGGAGGCGCGGCCATGTCGAGATCCAGGACGTGCATGCCAGTCTTGGACGTATTGCGGAAGACAGTCTCCCAGTAGATGGACTGATAAGAGTCATGCATATGAAACAGGCGGAGCTCCTCAAGCTCGGTCTGCTGGACAAGAGGCTTCATCTCTGCTGGGCTGATGTACGACTTGTACTCGTTCTCGCCATCTTGCTGAAGGCGGACAGGCTGGCCGAGATCGAGGACAAGCTTCGTAAGCGAGGTGGACAGCTTTGTCCAGATGACGGCCATGAAGGGTAGGTCTGAAATCCAGCTGGAGTCTGTTAGCCAGTAGGCCTGCTGCGAGAAGAGGATACACGTACGTCAACTCTTTAAGCGCAGGCATCTGTTCAACAAGCTTCGCTATATGCTCGCCTGCGTCGCGCCACTCCTGCTCACGCTTGGTGAGCCAGTGCGGCTGTTATTGCGTTAGCTTTATCGCTCTTGTTATCACAGAGCCTTCCGCTTACCTCAATCGAGCAATGCGATTGCTCCTCCGGTATACTGGTACGATCGCTGCCCTTCTTTGCCAGAGCCGCCGACTTCCACTCGCCGACGACGTAGAGCTTCGTGACTGGGGTAACACGATCATAGACGTTGATGAGGTAGTCGTCTACTTGCTCATTCACGTGCTTGGGGGAAGAAGTAACGTCGCCAGTCTCGTCGCGACCGACGTTGAGGACGTAACAAGAGTTTTCATTGCGGTCAGCCGCGAGCGCGGTCTGGAGGACATAAGGACCTAGGTTTTCTTTGAGTTCGGCCATGGTCGCGATGCGCGAATGTATTGTTTGGGTTGTAGTAGTAGGTGTAAGTGGTCGAGGGCAGATGCGTGGAGAATTTTGTTACGACCGGTCTCGAGATTGTTGCGGTCCAAGTCGAAGGTGACGCGAGATTGGGGTCGAGCAGCCCTGATAGGGCTGATAAGAGTGTTTGCTATATAGATAGGAAGGCGCTCACGGTGAAGGTGCGACACAAACGATGACGTGAATGCGTCTTCGTCCGTTTGCAGGACGTGCTCAGTGGTCGCCACAGCATGGCTGGAGCACGTGAATCGAACATGGTGAAATTGGGAATGCTGGTCGCTTGATTGGCCGGACTGGGACACTGCGCAACCATGGGAAGGTGCCCAAGTCAAGAGTGGGAAATTGCGGTGGGTGACCGAGCGCAACTTCTAAAGGAGAATGAGACGACTCTTTATATACGCGGGTGAATGGTTTAATGACAAATGCACATGCGCAGCATGCGACAACATATGATCAGATATCAGTGTCATGTGGACTTAGATGTTGCGTTCTTGGAGGAGCGAGAGCAAACAAAAGTGGCATAGAGCTGGAGATCGTGACTTCGTTGCCGAATTTTGAGGGGACAGATCTTGGGGATTACCGCTTGAAAAGTATTCTTGAGATTGGACAACGTATGCGTAGCGAAAGGTTTAGCGCAGTATCAAGTAAGAACTCTCACGTTTCTCATGTCATTTTGTCCATGGTAGCGAAGACTTGGACTGCGATTGAGGCATGCCCGCCGTAGCGATCAAGGTATCTCGAAGGATTAGATCTCTACAGCTCACTTACGATCATTCGCTGTGCGATAGTAAGGAATATTTTGGGTCACTCGGTGACCCACCTTAAACGATGACGCATTGTCTAGATCTAGTTAAATATTGCTGCAGATAGCTCCAGAATCACATCATTCGGATGTCTCAGAGCGCAGGCAGGTTATTCAGACAGCCGCTCTTCATCGCCCGTCCTAGTAATCGACATGCTGTACTACGAAAGTGTTCGAAACATCGAGAACGGGCGGTTCATACATTTCGGCGCCCAGAAGTCACTGCACGTCTTTATTCCTTTTGTTTTGAACATCCACACTCTTCAACTTTTTTATAGGGGAGAATAGCCATCGGAATCACTCATGCCAGAGAAACGAAAGGTGCCCACTACTGCCGTACCGCAGTACGTGTATTTTGGAATAGTATTCTCGAAGAAGTTGTTAACGTGCGTTGGATCTGTTCAGTATCTAGGTGGTTGTGCAAGGGAGCGTCTATCATGAGACACCTCAACTCGATTCACAACACCAATTCTCCTTATCCTCTTCTTTCGTTTACACTAATCACACGTTAACGAAGCATGAGAAGAACAAAGTTCAACAGACATGAGTCGCTTAGTACACTGTAAGTCCAAGTCCAAGTTTAGCTACATGCAACGACGACGCATCGTATACCTTAACAAGTTAGTCTGGCTCTTCCACGACGCATCCTGGTGCCTGAATTCACCATCCAATGAACATATACAACGGCTGCCGGATAAAGACGCCGAGCTTCATCAAGGAAATCGAATCGAGATTCAACTTGCTTTTTGCCCATCCAAGTGGAGGGGCGTAACCAGGGTTCGGGCTGACATTTGACATTGCTTTTTCGCCCGATCTATCAGCAACGTGGTGGCTTGTACGAAGTGATAATCCGCTTACCCTGGCCGACCCACGTGCTTGGTCTTAGTATACCCACGCGGTACGGTACGGGTACACAATTTCAGCCAGCTTGTGCTGCTCCTTGTACACGACGGAAGCAACCCGACCAGTAGCATGGTCTACCCGAACATAGCAGTGACCTCCGCGCAGCAACACGATCTCGTACCGACATCTATTGTCTGCACAGAATGTAAGCAGGCAAATAAGCCGCTTCCAGCACGGTGGCCATTCCGAAATGTGGCATTACTGCCCAGGTGTGACGTGCGGCGTCTAAGTCTCGATGCCTCTATAACGCATGCGGATGTGCGAGACCGCGTAGCTACCTAGGTAGATGCTATGGGTTGACTCAATGTGTTGGTAACATTTCAGCGCATGTTGAATGCTGTGGAAATTTTGTGACATGGGCCGTACCTATCTTCGGCCCCGGATGTGCAACGCAACCGCATTGGGTCGGCAATCGGATAGAGCTCAGGCGGCACGAATCGAGATTCGGATTCCAGGATTCTGCAGGTGGACAGTAAGCTTGCGCAAAATTCGGTGACGGAGGCCCTAAGCTTTGAATCGACAATGTGTGTTTCTCGCTATACGCTCCTTGTCAGAGTAAGGAAAAGAAATAGTGTGTACCAGACCTTCCACCGCGGGTCGAAGCAGACCGCTCTTCGGAGCTTTTACCACGAATTTGTGGGCAATAGTGCGATTGGTTCGAAATTTGACAGTGGTATCTACCGTTGTTGATGCCCAATGTCAGCCACATAGATCAGAGCGAGGCGCTAGCTACCCCACAGTAACGTAGCCACGATCCGAAGCTATGACTGTGGGAACGTCATGTTTTTCTCGATACACCCCCCATCGTGTCATTTCTCGACACGGGTCTCGTCCCGTGTGAAGCAATGCTTTTTCGAATCGACGTTTCTCCATGCGACAGGGAAGGATTCCCGAATTTATAGGTATCCATGCTTTTGGCAGCCGTTGGACGACCGTAGTAAGGCGAGATTGGCATGCGTTAGCGCGCACTGCAGGATAGTACAGCGTGCTATTGGAGTGGAGACGCCGATATTCCAAATATCTATACCTACCCTGTATGTGCCACATGGAGACCAAACATATGAGCCTGCTCGACGATTAGACGTAGAGGTACTCTAATAGCTCTCAACTTTGAGGGCATCTAGTGATAACCCACGTCTGTCTATGCATCTTCGTATCTGAGAAATGACCATTAGTCTGCGATTGAAGCAAGTATCCCAAGATGCTGCGGTTCTTGAATCGAACAAAACATGACATCGTCATCCGCGGACCGCCAGCTATGGTTTCGCTTCATGTACGCGTCGTATCGAGCATCGTTGCAACGAGGTCAGGCTAGACTCGTAGGGCGCTGAACGGAGACCCGAGTCAAAAGCAAAGGAAGGCATGCAGCCCCTCTGTAGCATGGAACACCGCGGAACCTTGAACTGTGGTCGCGCAGCTTCAGGGCTGCATGGGTTAGGCAGTCGTTGACATGTGGACGGCGAAAGAACCTGAATACCTAGGCTTGCATCAGGACAAGAAGGAAACTTCACTCGTGGCAATTCCGACGAAAGAGAATGTACATATGTTGACAATGCCATTGCGTTTCCATGCCTCCAGGGCTCCTGACGTGGGGCGCCTCATTCAGCGGGGCGGCGTTCACACTTCTCCACATGGGCTACCAACGAAGGTGCCCAGTCTAGTAAATTATCCGTCTCGAGCCGCGCGTGCCACCAGCCGCGACGAGATCAGAGTAGGATGCTGCAGTCGCTAAAAAAGCAAGAAAAGGCCTCGGGATGGTTGCATACACAAGGGTGGATGTGCGGTAGATGGGATGAGGTCTGACATGTGGGTCCTAAGATGAGATCGGAAACACCCCCCACGCTAATCTAAGCGCCCATTGTAGTAGTACCACCGGCAACGCGACCAAACTCCTGACTGTTTGATGGAGGATGCGAGAACTCATGACACTGTCATATGTTGACTGCGCCATCGGCGTGATCATCCCGCTGTAGCGGGAGTGGCTGTTGCCAAGAGAGTGGCATGGCATGACCCAATTTCCGGGGCAGTTGTGCATGCATAGGTTATGATTTCATGGCTTGTAGCGTTATGCGCTCTTTACCGGTAGAGTGAAAGTTGTGCAACGAGCCCATCGTCCTACCTATCTATGAGAGTGTCGGCATGCCGAACAAATCCGGCGACGTTGGATGACCAAGCAGCTGCATTCGAGACCACGATGCTGAATCTATCCTGGTTCTTGCTGGATCGTGCAATTTCCCATATCTGACATCGGAGTTCGTTACACGTTGATAGATAAAACAGGCGTCCAAGGTCGCCAAGAGAAGGGGTACGAGCGGTAGGAGCTGAGTGCGATTGAAACACATAGCTGAACGCTCACATCCGTGTCGTGCAGAGCTTTACAAAAGCAACATGATCGCGATTTCCGAAAGACAGTACGTGGAGTGGAAAGAGTATGAGAGTTGGACTGTTTAATAAATTACTACTTCAGGAGGTATTACATGTTGGACAATGTGTACTGCAGCGGGTTGGCTGCGAGTGAGATCGTGGCGTTTATTGCGCAATTCCAATCATGGGTTTGTAGGAGGAAGCGCGTGCTCGTTGTTTCCGGCTCGCGACAAAGTGCTGGTGGCAATATTGGCGTTGCTTGGAGTATATGATGCATTCGGGGTATGGATACAGTGTGGTAGCACCATAGTGCCAGTTTCGTCAAATCCGGCCGGTGTGCCGTCTAGCGTTTGTTGCCTAGCGATATCGAATGACGATCGGATCGAATGGCGGCACCATCTGAGGGTCAAGGCCGTGAAGCGAAGATCTTTGGCAAGTGTGCTGGAAGTAGAGATAGTGTGGGCTCATGCCGAAACGGAGCCTTCTGCAACTCAGACACTACGTGAAGAGCGACCATCTCTTATACCAACGTTAATTTTATAATCTTCTTCGTCGTCCGAGTCCATTGAGTGGTCGACAGGAAAACTTCTTAACCCATTCTCTAGCATCCGGAATGTTTCTGAGTAGGCCTTGGAAGGAACGGCGTCCGGTTGGATGAGGAGCGAAGCAACGTCCATCTTGATCGATCTGGGATAAGGAAAGTCGTTGGGATCTTTGACGAACCAACTGCGGTCTTGTGTAGTGTCGTGCTTCCGTACATGATGCGTGGCGAGATCCGAAAATCTTTCGTCTAGGATCTTGCGTAGCACACGCTCGACTTGCTCGTCCGTAGGCCCTTGTATGTTCTGTTTCTGCTCCAGGACCAGGATACGTTCGTGCATCTTCCGAAAACACAACTCTGTTCTACGCATGAACTCGTGGCTGCCACTGATAAGCCTCAATGCTTGAATAGGATGCGGAAGGCGCTATGCTTACTACCATGCTGCAATCTGGTCGAAAGACTGATTGATCTTCTGCACCTGGAAGGTGAACGACATGTTTGAACTTGGTTAGAATTGAAAAGTAAGGAGTAAATTGAGAGACTGGGTTGTGGAGGCTTCGCGAAATTGGGCCTTTAAGTGTAAGGACTTGAGACTGGAGAGACATGTATATGGGAAGAACCAAATGTGTACGGCAAGGAAGCGAACTCTGATATACATGTATGACCCTTGCAGGTGTGAATCACAGGGATACGTTTCAGGTGGGACCAACACGCCGCTTCTGATATGCAGTCAGGTCGGTAGCGCGGCAGGGTCCTCGGATGGCGGGAGACTTTGATGGGCCGGTCGGCCAGTGGGGGATGTAAGGTGGACGCCCAATCAGGGTCACGCAAGTATGCGGCTGTCTAAGTCTCCCGAATGGAGTGTTTTGGGGTCAAATACATATACCTAGGTGCTTGTCGGATTACACGCAAGACGCTGACCGAAAGAGAGACCGCGGAGAAGATCGTTCAAAAGGACGTTGTAAGCTGTTCGGGCGAAGGAAAATTCCAAAGTACCTACCTATGGAAGAATAGTGACTGCCTCTACGGCATACACAGTCGAGGTGACAGGGGCGTGCCATGGACACCGCCCCCATCGCCATGATCGACAATGCTAGCGACAAAGGTACGGGGTCAGCGTTGAGTGGCTCGCGTGTCTAGGCGTGCAAGGTGTCCGAATATTGTTGTCGACCCATTCGATCACAGGTTGCGGCCACTTACCGCAAAGCAAAGGCGAGCTCGCGGGAACGGGTTTCTTTCCCAGCGGCGGTGCATGCAATGCAAGCCATCGAGTCAATCCGGTTATGGCCGTGCCCCTAGGCCAAGGCTGTCGTATCCGGTTTTCTTTTCCCCCACAGCTTTCTCGTCGTTCTGCCTGCGTAACGCCTGCCGATTGGTATCTTCAGCGACACTGGGAGAAGCTGCCGGTCGAGCTGCGTCATCCGATGTTTGTAGATGCTAGCAAGGCTGTCAAATTGTGTTTGCTGGTGCCAGCTGGTTTGCACGTGCGTCATGATGCCGCTAGACTCAAAGCCGCTAGACCCGCTCTTGCGTATTAGGTAGCGGGCCTCGGGAACGACTCTCGATTCCAGGGCCACTCTCGTCATCGGTCAACATCCTGCAAGCGAAGCGACCGGGCACGTTAATCCCGATAAACACCAGTTCCCCCTAGAACACTGCCGATTCCTAGCTCGGAAAGCTCAGAGTCAGTATCGTCAGGTGAGGTTAGAGCTGCGTACAGCGCAGAGCCAGCGCATCGCATCTGGCCTCTGACAAACAATCGGCGATGGCAGTTACCATTTGGTACACGCGCTGCGCCGCCTCGTTACCTTTATTGACAACGTATTTGCCTAGTCAGTTGCTAAAGCAGGGTTATACCATGGCGAGCCACTCCAAATGACTCCGGCATGTACTGACCGTCTCAAGTACCGACAAGGCATCTTCCTGAAATTCATTCAATCCATTCAACAGCTTTCTCTAGAATTTGTTAATGCCACCCAGAGAAAAATGCCAAACTTCGTTCATATCTGAACATGGCTACTGTAACAATATCTGGGAGTAGTTGTGGCCCTGGATGATCGCTGTCCGAAAATTGGCGCCATGTATCCGTTGCAAAATGTCAGCATACATTCTGTGTGTATGCATTTCCTTCATGCATCTGAGCATAACGTATACACACAGACGACGATCCGCTAACAATTGACAACGCTGAAGGGTAAGCTGCGCTTGTTGCAGCCTGCATGGATGCATATTGAGGCCTGGTCCATCGCTAACCCAAAGATTACGCACACACTCACCGAGGCCTTACGATCCTGTTTAGAGCTATCGCACCTCGACTTCGACATCTTTATCGACCGCAGGACTTTGTTAATGTGGTCTTCTCTCGCTTACGATAACTGGAAACGGATCGACATGGTCGAGGTTTCGACAGACTAGCCCACCAGGACACCTCAGCCACTTCTACAGGGCTCTCATCCGTGCGCGTCGATCGCCCATCACGACGTTCAACACCCCAGTGCATTCTTCGGAAATATAACGGTCTGCCTTCGCATACAGTAGCGTGGTACCGCTGATGACCCTCAAGCATCAGCGGATTACATGGCGCCATTGCTGAGCTGATGAGTCGAACGATTCTCAAACTGACAGGGCTTAAAACTCCCGACTGCAGGTATCTTAGCGCTTTGTGACCCGCCGCTTGACATCGGTAGTTGGGTTTAATCCCAGTTCACGGATCCTGTCACTTGCCTTGAGCTAATGCAGCCTCCCGAGCACCTTGCTTGGAGTATACGACGCACTGAGCTTTCAAGACGGCACTCGAGTTCGGTATATAATATCAGTATTTAATAGTTTCCTCACTTACGGATAAGCAGACTTTGGCCAGAGTGTAGCTATGTGTGGTTGAGTTGCATGATTTCTCAGCATTAAGAAAGCTGAGTTGCATAACGATCCCAGACGACTTCTTTTCAACGCCCTCAAGATCGAGGATTTCTTGATCCAGACCATATGCATGCTCCACCAGTTTTGGACAAGATAATCACATCGACGATGAGATACAGACGCTTCAGACAGTCCGCCGCTTCCGCCAGAACTAGAACACGACCCTTTTAGCAACTCATTTGATCGCATTATATGCATACATCAGGTGGATCGTTTTGTCATCAACGCTGCAGAAGTTTCAGCAAGTACTGCGACTCGGGTCTCGAGCCGAATTTCCTACTCCAGAAATGATCTCATTTCCCGGGCTGTCATTGCCCTGGCTTAGCGAAAAGCAGGGCGAACGACCACGCCGTACCAAGAGCCGGGTCGCTTCACACAAACAGCAAGCGCTGGAATACCGCGGCAAGCTCGCAATGCGTTTAATCCGCTTATATCAGCTATTCAGCTGGCTTTAATGCTTTCGAGGGATTCGAAACCACGGCCGGTTCCACATTCCCGGCACCTAATGCTACTCCCGTATGGTCTTCATTGTCGCGATTACTAGATCCTGCACCTTAAGCGGGAGCGAATATAGACGTTCCCACATCGACTCCACCCCAGCGAGGGCCTTCGTGGTGGGTCCAGAGCTCTCAAAGCTTTGCCAACACTGCGTGCTGCGTTGATCCGGTAACTGACTCGTGGGAATGGGCTAACGGATACCTGCCCTATCAAGACTTTGAATTGCCAGAAGAAGACACCTCGACCGTGTACGCGGAAAGGACATACGACTACAAGCTGCACAGCTATCGGTGGAGCCGACAGCCCCATCCTTGCTCGTGCGATGATACGGTGAATACTGCGTCCATCGCGTCGGAACCTAGCCTGGCGAGTCGTTTTCAATGATGTTTTGTTGATGCAAAGGATTATAAAAATGACCTTCCCAGGCATTGCCCCACAAGCCTTCTCGGATGATTAATAAGGAGTTTCGTTCGATTCCTACGAAAAGCATCTCGGCCTAAAGGAAACCGAGGCACAGTAAAACGTTTTTGATCCAAGATGCATATATCGGTAACATGCGATGATGAAGAAAAGAAGTGGTGCAAGTAAGAATGTGTTAGAAGACCAATCTTACGATGTTACGACGACACGTCATCCACACAACTATTGATAGACCATGGGACTGTGACCAAATCAGGCCGTTGTGCCCGAGAGCCTACTTGAACAACTCTATCGCATCCAAAATCACGTTTGGGGCCAGGAATCCTTCTCCCGAACTCCCACTTGCACAGTTGATCTTGATGGTATTGCTCCCGCTGACCAACGTGCCAGCTGGTATGGCATAATTGTAGACTTCACCAAACCCTCGGTAGGCGCCGCGAGTCAAGCCACGCGAATCAATCTTCGTTGGTGCCGCAGGTACGGCGGCGTTGAAGCTGTTGACTGTCACCGAGGGACGGCAGCCGGCGAAAGAGAGCGTAGTACCGATGCGAAGGGTCGCTGCTGCAGTCGAGGTGCTCGAGAACTTGATGGTGAGCGGATTGGTGTCCTTGACTATGGCCATGGGAACACTGTCAAGAGTGCTGGAACCAACTGTATACGTCAAGGGCCCCCAAGATGCCATGCGCGAGTCTGTGGGGTGCATGCGCAGTTGCTTGTCTGCGTTTCGAAAGCCCTTTGGCTGACCATCCCACTCGCCGATGCGCCAAATGGAGGTCTTGGTTTCGGTGTCGGCGGCAATGTTGGCGGTAGTTGCTTTTCCAGCCGAGACTGTGACGCTAGCTGCCTTGACCTTGAACTCGCCCTGATACAAGACCTGCGCGTAGTTTCCGGGCTTCATTGCTGGCGAAGTGAACTTGCCACTGCTATCGGCGTACGCCCAGTACTGGGCTCCATCGTTATACCAATGCAATACCCGTTGGAAACTGGAGCCTACACCTGTCGCCGTGCCGGTGACTGTTCCCCTAGCGGATGAAGCCACGTAGCCCGTTATACCAAGGTCCTTGAAGAACGTCGTATCCATATTGGAGCCACCTTCTGGTACACCAGAGCGACTGAACGCTAGAGCGTAGGGGCCGTGCAGACCCTGACGGAACGGCTCTGTTTGAACATGGCCACTGTTCATGTAGAAGGTCAACGACGTGTATTCCCCTCCGTTATTAGTGTTTATATCGCGGTGGAAGGGGCCACCAGAGGAGGCTTCGTAAGAATATGAGTTCATGAGGAAGCAGGCGTGGACCGCGTCGGCACCGTCTCGGTAGACGCAGTGCTGTGTTGACTCAGTAAAAGCTCATTGAAGCATACTGACTGTGGTACCTACCGTAGTGTCGTCGATGAAACGCTCACTTGAGTAGAATTTACTCCTCGTCTGACCAGCGACCACGAAGACGTCTGACCCCTCAACAGTCGACGTCGAACCAACGGTCGTCGATACCACGCCGAATGGGTACTCAAGTGGCAGAGCACTACTCTTAAGACGCGCGATGAATCGCAGTTCGCCAATGCTAGGCTCGGCAGTGGTGTATGTCGCCATATAAATCGTCGCTTCGCCAGCCTTAGCAACAAGGTAATGCGTCAAGGTACTAGTCGTGCAAGTAAACTTGA